ATTGTAACTAATTCATTGATGTATATGTTTTAGCTACTTTGAAACAGAATTGCATGGATGCAACTAGGGAAAGGCGCGGGAGAGTTGCAACTGTCGTATGTTTGATGTACAAATATTATAACACGTTCATAGAACGCTCCCCTTCCATGACGTCCTCATATGGCGATAAATGGGTTGGAGAGTTGTTGGAGGGGCACTCAACAGGATTTAGCAATATGTTACACATGACACAGGCGGTATTCATTGATCTGTTGGAGGAACTACACGGAAATCATAGACTTCATGACTCATCCGGAACTACTTCACGAGAGCTGTTGGCAATAATCTCTACATATTATCGCAGAATGAATCAATGTGAGGAGTTATGAAGCGATTTTAGTACTTTTCCAAAATAATTTGTAGATGTTTCTCAGTAGGGTTGAATGCACTTGACACTTTTTGTTCACATGTCATAAAACCAAAAATCCTACATTTGAATGGACATCCGAAGAGATTTTGCACAATATGCGATATATGTCATATTTTAAGGTAATTTCTCCTATTTATTACATTCAATTTTTATATAAATATCGTAATTATGCAACTCTTCATTATATTTCTAGAATTGTATTGAAGCAATCGATGAAACACACGTTGATGCACATGTTTCAAATAATGAGAAGATTGCATTCATCTAACATTGTGGGTGCCCAACACAGAATGTCATGGTTGCATGCGACTTCAACATGTGTTTCACTTTTGTCATGGCTGGTTTGGAGGACTATGCACATGACAATCGAATATTCAAATTTGTAGCGCGGAATAATAAATATAACTTCTTACATTCATTCATAGATTTGCTTGAGACTAAACGAATTTCCTAATTCTCTTTTCCTTGAACATTATTCATTCAATTCACATCAGATAAATTCTATTTGGTCGATGTTTGGTATCCGTTGCAGTGAGGGTATCTCAAACCCTATCCTGATACGAGATACCACATATCTGATTTTGAGCAAGAACGCAATGTCGCGCGAGTCAGGAAAAAAAATATTCAACAAAAGACATTCATCCTTACGCGGTGTTATTGAGATGACTTTTAGGTTTGGAAGAAGAAATTGTTTATACTTTACAATATATCATCTTACCCATTTCTCAAACAGGTGCAGATTGTGATTGCCACGATGAATTTCTAAAATTATATTCGATGGCATCTTACCCGCAACGACGTCGACTTCCATTGGGCGTACGAAGATCATAAACATGTCTAGCGAGACATATGAGTACCGCTTGGACAGTCTTTATCACAGACTGAAACTGATGTTCTCGAGACCTGCACTAAAGATGGTGAAGTTGCAAACGAGATGACAGAGTTGAGAGAACAAATTAAAGATGTGATAGTTTGAGTATGGTTTGAGGGAATGTTAGTTTGTATTATATTATTAATTGTAATGAATGTTGAAGACATTCACTATTTATTGTATCAATATTTTATACAGTTCATGTTTATTTTTGTTCCTTATGCATTTGATATTTACTATTTTGTGTTCCTTTTTTATTTGCATTTTTTATTCATTTTTGTGAGTTTCTATGGTCTATGATGAGACGTTTGATATTATGAGTTCTTTTGGGTGGACTGTATGTTGTTATTGGTTAGTGTCACATGTGAAATCCTAATGAAAACAAGCAAGCTCTCTTTTTTGGGTGCTACCATTTTTTAGGTTCTTTTGGATGGTTTTTTTTGGTGATATGCATATGTGACACATGAGCGTGGTATTACGTGAGTTAAAAGCAATCAAATCCTTCTTTTATAAAATCTACTATCTTCTTGTAATGACAGATTCGTTGGTTTATATGCTGAGTCATCTAAGACCTCACAACTGCATAAAACAATGATTAATTACTTATGTTTTCAAAATTTACTTTTGTTATGTCTAAGGGTATGTTTTTATAAGCATTCAGAAAAAATAAGCTTGAGGATTTCTAGTACCTTGAGAGGATTGCACTGCTACCATGGATTTCAATGTTCCTTGTTAATCTCACGTCAGACACATAGCTATGGGAGACGGTTTTCAGGTGCCCACGGCGAATCACGAAAAATTGTGACTATTTTTGGTGGGCAGATAGGCTGGATGTCGGCTTAGCTCATGACATGCGTCATATGCATTTTAAAAATAATATTATCATATTATTAATTGATGTTTTAATAGTCTTTTTTTTTTTTAATTTAGTAGTCATGCTACTCACTGTTAAATGTGGTGTCTATATTTATTTTGTAATGTTCTAGACTGAATATTTATTTTTAAAGTATATAATGTATGGATATGAACAGTTCTGTTGCAAATAACATTACTATACAAGGGCAGAATGATCATTTGTCCATAAATAGTTGCAACATAATTGTTTTCAAACTGCAAAAAATAAACAGATAGTCAGATTATTCGAGATAGCTTCTTCGCAGCAACTTTCTGTGGCAGCTTATTATTAAGTTGTTGGTGCCTCAAACAGACACTTAGTCTGATAAGGGCTCACTTTCTTTTGGAAAACATAAATTTTTTAAACTGTCATCTAATTTTAAGGTTGTCAGTCAGGACTCTGGCATCATAGAGGTTTAAGATAAAGTTATGAAAATGTTTGATGCCAATGATATGAGTCGACAAAGTTTCACGGGAAGTATTTCTTTCTCATCTTCTCCATTTCAATCAATGATCTTGAGTCCCTGCATGAACTCTGCAAGCCTAATAGGTTTTTTTGTGGGTTGATAATACTCCTGCAAATTATTAATAATCCTTTTAGTCATAGTGCTCTTCTTAGTTTTCTATTTTTGGTTGACTTCTTAGATGTCGCCGATGAACCGTGTGTGGATTGCATCTTATATCGAGACGAGTTGGCATGATTAAAGTGCTTTTGAGTTGATGAAGGCACTGATATGCTTGACATTTGTCTCTCTCTCTTAACTTGAGCTCTAGTTCTTGAGAAAATTTCCACTTAACATCAGGAATGAGAAAGTAACTATCTTTGTTGATTATTTTCAGGCGAATTAGAATATTGTAAGAAATAGAGTGACAGGATTCAGTGTCTTTTCAGATGGAAGAGGAAGCAAGTGTGCAATCAGCGAGATGGAGGGTGACGATGTGACTTAGGAAGACGACCAAAGTAGAGGGCTTCAACAAGGTCTCTAGGAGTTTCCGAAGCCTTTGCATGCGGCGTTCCCATCGTTGCTGCGAAACAATTGAAGGAGAAGCAGGTTCGTGTGCGACTCTAAAGCTTGAAGAAGGCGCTGTCTGGGCAAAGAAGGGCTTCTCAGTGCGGTCGCTTGAGAGGTGAATAAGAAAATGAGGCTTGTTTCTTGAATAGGGAAGAAGATACAGGTTTTGATGGCTAGAGATGACAGATGAACAAGATCAACCATGCTTAGAAGGGAGTTATACTTGAATTTTGGAGTCGCACGAGACAAAGAACTAGAGGGAAGATGCGAGGGCTTCAATTGCGGCTTCTCGGAGTGACAGTATGGAAGGGAGGACTTCAGCTTTGCGGCGATCCAGAGGAAGAAGTGGGGATGGCTTCCTGTGAGTTTTGAACCAGAGAGGAAAATGGGAAGCAGGGCTTGCGACTTTTGATTCGTGCATATTAGAGGAAATGAAAAGTAAAGACTGAGCTCGAGTTGTTTCATTAGGCCGGTTTTGTTAAGTGCATGCTGGAACATTTGCGAAAAAAAAAATAATAAAATTGGCATGAAAAGCAATTTGAAAAGGCCCAATTTTTAGTTGACTTTAATTGATTTTAATGATGCTTAATTAGCAGCATTTAATATTGATTATTATAGTTTTTAACCGTCAACAACCGTTAGTCAGATGCTTTATCTGTTGTCTAATTTTTTATTATATATTTTTGGTTTATAGAATCCAGTGGTCTTTGACTTAGATAAATACTTTTGGTCACCTCTAGTTGGATTAGAGCTGTTGTCTCACATCTGAAGGTGCTATATGGCAATTATCTTAACATTAGGGGGGGATAAATGATAATTAGTAGAAGGGAAATTTACATAGATAAATACTTTTGGTATGTATGATTTTTTATTTCAATTATTTTTAGAAGTTATGTATTTTATTTGAGGATTATTTAATCCACATTTTTGTATTTATATTTTATGAATATTAAAAGAGTTTATGTGGTGATGATTTAGGAAGATTAATCCTCCATTCATTTGATCCTCTGATGTCTACAAGTCAGGATGAATATCGGTGAAAATTTGGCTGACCGAGTCATCCCTCTTCTATTACACCTCTAGTTGGATTAGAGCTGTTGTCTCACATCCGAAGGTGCTATATGGCAATTATCTTAACATTAGGGGGGGATAAATGATAATTAGTAGAAGGGAAATTTACATGCATATCACACAATTTCTATGTATATAAATCTAACATTTAAAGCTTGATATTTATTTTTATAACTATTTAGTGTCAAATTTTTGCATTAAAACGTATATTTCACTTTTAGAAAGTTATTAATAGTGGTATTTTTTATTTAAGGTTAAATAGTTGAGTGCTATGCATATAAATATAGAAGTTTAGATATTAGATGTGTAAATACATAAGAATTGTGTATGTAAATATTCTCATGATTTTGGATTTTTCTTTTAACATCATATTAATGGGCTAGCTGTGCAGGGAATCTAGCACAAATTTGTTGAAAAAGTGAAGCTCTTTTTTAACTATGATCAGCCTAGACAAAGATATCACTTTATTTTCATGTTTTGCCTATGCTTCTTAAGGAAGATCAATTCTAAAGTTTTGTCATTCTTTTGAAGGACCTCAAGTCGCTAGAAACAGGACCAATGCATGTTCAGGACTTAATTTTTGAAAATTGAATAACTGTCTCTTTATCCCTTCAGTGCATACGTAAATTTTGCATGGTTAAACAGATAGAACTCTTGCATTCAGCATTTCTGCAACTCTTCCTGTGCAAAACCTGTATTTGATGTCATCTTTCTCTCTCTTTCTCCTGCTTGATCTAAACAGTAGTACGCCGTTTGATCTAAGACCAATATCTCAGAGAAGACGAATTCAGCCCTCAGAACTGGCTGGGTCCTGGAAAGTCTTTGAGGTCAGTGCGACTCCAGTCTTCAGCTCTGTAGAAGCATCTGAAGAAGGTGATCCATCTTTGGTGTACCTCTGCATGGAGACATTGAAGAAGAGGAGCTTGCCTGAAAGCTCAGTATACTTTGGTGAGGAGGCAGAACTCGACTCGAATGATGTTACCATCCTCTGGTTACCGGGCGGGGTGGCAACATATGTTGATGTGGATAAAGAGGGAACATTGTGTATTGGGATTAGTTGGTATTCTGATGAAGGGATTAACCTTGTTATGGAAAGAGACTATGGAACGGATGGAAACCTCAAGGAGGTGAGGTGGAAATCTGAGATAAAGAGGCGGTGGTCTTAGCCGTCATCTCGGATGCATCCGGAGTTCAATTGTGGAGCGTCACGTGTCAAGTAGGCCCCGCCGTTTTTAACACTGGCCAATGCTAGTATAGTGCGGTGGGGACCACTTGTCATATGGCACCGGATGCAAATTGAGTCCGGATGTAATATTTTCTCTCTGTCATGGGGTGAGTCTCTGTATAATTGTATAGGGATTGGTGTTAAGTGTGTGATTACAATTTGGAACTTGGAATCTTGACTGTTGTTTGGAAATATATGTTCGTTCGGAGTTTTTTTTTTTTTTTTTTTAAATGAAATTTAGATATTGATTACTATCATATTTGTTTGAAATTAAAGAAGAGTGTTGGGCATTTCTGCATTCAAGAGTGTCAACATTTCCAGAGGTGTTGGACAAAATGTAATCCCGGACATGGAGAACTCGTGAAATTTTGCGCATTTTTGCAAGCCAGACCTGCGAATTCTAGCATAAACACAGCCAAAATTCCTTTCAATGTGCAGCAAAAATATTCGAGAGTTGGTCTTGCCCACAAATTGGACTCCATGGACCATGACTGGCACGGGTGCGTCGCCCCGCATGACGGGGAATCCCGCGATCATGGGACGGAACCTGGAGCAGGAGCACGAAAATTCGCACTTGGAGATTCTTGATTAGTGTTAGGTAAGGTTGCAAAATAGTTTTTTGCAAGCACTTAATAATTGGTTCGTTAAATAACTAGCAAAGTGAATCAAACATGAATAAATTTTTTTAGCTTAATTAATTAGCGAGCTGCTTACGAATAAAAAATTATGTCTCAATGTTCTGCTTGTTTTTTGCTCAAAATAATTAAAAATTTAAAAATAATATTAATTAATATCATCTTAATATAAAGTTGTTACAATCTAAGATATATATATGTGGGTGATATAAACGTAAAAAAATAAAGTTTAGGTGTTAGATATGTAAATATATAAGTGTTGGTTGGTTGGTATCTATGTAAATGCCCAAAAAAAACTAAAAAACAACAATTATATTGTTTTTTCTCTTTTGGTTCTTTTTAGATCTCGG